TTCTTTGGGTGTTAAATGAGGTTAAAACTCGCGTTGTCCTTGCTGCGTTTTTTTTTTTTTTTTTTCGGTAATATATTGGATGTCTTGAGAAGTAGAGCGGCAGTGCATTTTGTGCTTCGCTGACCCGCTGGAGGCCTGACAGAGACGTACTGCGGTACTCAAACAGTAAATTAATACAAGCTGCCTCCCTCCATTTGGACCTGTTCCGTACATTTGCGTTTCCTCGCGGATTGGCTGTGGGGCTGCGTGCCCCTTGGGCTCACACCATAGCCGTGAAAGTCACCCGTGAAAGTCACCCGTGAAGGTCACCCATGAAGGTCACCCGTGAAAGTTGCCAGTGAAAGTTGCCTGTGAAAGTCACCCGTGAAGGTCGTCTGTGGCTTGGATCGTGCTCCTCCTCCTCCTCCTCCTCTCAGTAACAAAGCCCGCCGTTTCTTCCATAATGCCCCCCTTCTCACACCAGAAACGCCCATCCTGCGTGAGGACAGGGGATTATGAAACTGGCCTCTTATCTACCTGTCAGGCCAGGTCCAGTTTAACCACCAGATGTCCCTGTAAAACACGTTAATAAGTCTGCAAAAAAGACAGCCACCTAGATTTATGCACCAGTACAACAAGTGGCACGAAATGCAGATTTTATGTACTTCTTTGCCTGAATTCACTCTGTCTGCATCTTGACTATTGACTTTTCTTCTCTGCAAAGCCAGGGCAATCCCCCCCCCCCAGTCCCAATGACTCATTATAAGTAGTTAATGTGAATGTTGCAACTCTGAATAAATTTCATTGTTATTATTACCCACTGCCCAAGCAGACACCCATAACTTCAGGGCATTAAGTATAGATAGCCGCTGAATGATTGCATGAGCTCCATAGGAAACCTGTGTGACAATAGCTTATCTCATTTCCTTAAAGGGTTCATAGGCATAAAAATACTGACGTATCACTGGTAACCCATTGCAGTGCGACTTCCTGTGCTTCAAATGGTGACACTTGCTGTATTGTGACGAATACATTAGCCGTTGGCGACGAACATCTTAGCTATCATGGAGAATGCATTAGCCAACAAGAAGGATGCATTAGCTATCGTGAAGGATGCATTAGCTATGGCAAAGAATGGAATTAGTTATCATGAAGGTATTATCGTGAAGAATGTAGTAGCTGTGGTGAGGCTAGCAGTAGTCATCATGAAGAATTAGCTATTGTGAAGAATGTATCATCTATCATGAAGAATGTATTGACTATTATGAAGAACATATTAATTACTGTGATGAACACAGCTATTGTGAAGAACTCGTACTGTCCTCATAGTAGCTCCTTTTGAGCGCATATGCAGAAGATACAATGAAACTGGGGGCTTTGGGTGGGGATGCTGTAAAGCGCTTTGAGACAATGTAATGTTGTGATAATGCGCTATACAAAAATACATTTGTTGTTATACATTATTTTAGAAATATATCTGTAAATATTTTAAGGTATATAGTGATCTATAATACCCAACTGACTTTAATGTTTAAGCAGTCTAAACAGACTTTGCACTGAATGTTCTATGAATGCATTGTGAATGCATTATCAAGGTGCTCTGAATGTTCTATGAATGCACTGTGAATGAATTATTAAGGAGCACTGGATGTTTTATGAATGCACTGTGAATGCATTATTAAGGTGCACTGAATGTTCTATGAATGCACTGTGAATGCACTATTAAGGTGCACTGAATGTTCTGTGAATGCACTGTGAATGCATTATTAAGGTGCACTGAATGTTCTATGAATGCTCTCTGAATGTGCACTGAATGTTCTATGAATGCACTCTGAATGTGCACTGAATGTTCTATGAATGCACTGTGAATGCATTATTAAGGTGCACTGAATGTTCTATGAATGCACTCTGAATGTGCACTGAATGTTCTATGAATGCACTGTGAATGCATTATTAAGGTGCACTGAGTGTTCTATGAATGCATTGTGAATGCACTATGAAGGTGCACTGAATGTCCTATGAATGCACTATGAATGCATTATCAAGGTGCAGTTAATGTAATCTTTACTGATATTTTTTATGTACAGCTGAGTGGTTTATGTATCAGTACGGTGATCTTGTGCCCCATGTTTCAGGCAGCACCTGGTGAGGGTTAAAAGCTCCACAAACACGCTCTGGGCAGAAGGAAGCACATGGCTGCGGGACTCTGGTACCTGGTGACCACAAAGGACATTGTGGCTCCATGGACCCTGGGGCACAGGAAGGAGTCGGTCGTGCTCTTGATTTCGGACGCACCTTGGACCTCACAATCATAAACACACAACACATACACTCTGAGATGAATCCAAGCCTGGACAAAATAACAGGAAGAGCCGCTGTGTGCTGCAGAGTGAGATAGAGATCACAGCCCATTGTGCACGTGTGTGTGTGTGTGTGTGTGCATGTGCGTGTGCATGTGAGAAAGTGGAGGGCGCGCATACAGAGGGTATTCAGAGAGAGCAGGGGACACACAGCTGGTGATCATGGGTTCGAATTGATAGCATTTTTGTGAATAAAGGATGGATCCTCCAATCAGTCGACTGGGTTTATGTCCAGACATATCCCAGTTTCACTTCCTGTTCTCCACAGGAAGATGCTGAAACCATGTTGGCGGCAGGAGGCAGTAATAACGCCGAGAGGGTGGGGTGGGGCGTCCCTGCTGCCGCTTCCTCGTCGCCCACTGATCATTGGGGGGGGGGGGGGACACAATACTTCATGCTAAACATGTACGGCGAAAGATCAGATAAGCCACCAAAAAATGTGACTGTTAGGGAGGGATGCTACAGCTGCTACTGTGTGTGCTGTTTTCACCATAAGGTAACACCCCCCCCCCCACACATACACACACACCTTCCTTACTGAGTATCTGCTAGACCAGGAGATGGGGTCAAAGGTCACCAGACTCAGTCCTCATGTACAGTCAAGTCTGGACAGTAGCTGATCTCGTCCCCTCATCCCAGACGTAAATAATTGTTTTGCTGGCTGTTTTTTGGAAGATATGGGAGAGACCTTTAGGGGTACCTTCTCAGCCCGGTGCTGAATGTGGAGGGAGCGTGATGTTTAGATTAAGCACCAGTGTGCGAGGTTGATGGTGACTCTGCCCTGCCTGGTGACCTCTGCGCTGAATCCGACACCCTCGTACACAATGTACAGCCTGCATCCATGCCTGAGGTATTATTAAAGAAAAGTGAAATGAGTGTCCTTACCCCAAGAGGCCTCAATAGTGTCAAAAGGTGATTTCTGTCTCACCTATAAAGTAGGAACCGGGGTGATGTCTGGCTCTGCAGGGTAGGACATTGTACCTGTGATCGGAAGGTTGCTGGTTTGAATCCTGGTGTGGTGGGAGTGATTTCACTGTTGGGGCTTTGAACCAAGACCTTAACCCTCATTCCTCCAGAGACGTCTGGCCCTGTTTTCTCGAAAAATGTATGTTACTTTGGATAAATGTGTTCACACTAAGTTAATAAAATGAAATTAAAACTCAGCTGAACAGGTAAGGCTGTTAAGTCTCCAAAACATTTTTGGTCTTCATTTAATCAACCCGTTGTCCTCCGTAGAACCTGTTTAAGGAGAACATCGAGCAGCCCTTTGAATTCACCCTTAATCTAATTGGTGGGATCATCTGTGTTTTTCATGCCTGTCCGAGTGGCAGGTCAGGGTGAGTGGGCTTGGCGTCAGGTTCGAGCAGCAGAGATGCCGACGTCGACGTGTCTGGGATGTGTAATGTAGCAACTCGTGCAAAAATGAGTGGGACGGAGGTGGGCCAAAGTTCACACTACCCCCCCCCCCCCCCCCCCCCCCCACCCAGAACATGAGCGTAGTTTGCAGAGTGTGTTAATAGCCGTGTGTAAATCTCCTCCACTCTATTTATCCTTCTATGTCTCACTCCCTCACACGGTCAACAAGACGCCCTTTTCCACCCAGAGTTTATCTCCCCTGGATTTTTCTACCACTCCTCTGTGAAATCTACCTTCACCCCTCGGCACTGCCCCCACCCCCCTACACACACACTCAGTTTTGCTGTAATTAAGTTTCACTCCCATCTCTGCCTCCATTTCACGCACATGGTGATGCCACCATAAATTCACTCTCTCTGGGCGCGGCCTGCAGCTCTTACATGCTCAGGCCGTGGTTCCCACACATAACAGCTCCCATAGCTTCCAATTTACCCAGCTAGGATGATTATTTACTGGGTTCAAGGGGTTAACTTCGCCTGGGATGTCTGCTGAGGATGGTAATGAAAGGACAGAGACGCCACACTAATGATCTGGACACATACCGCAACCCATCAGAGAGGCAGAATGAAACAGCCTGTGAAGAAACTAAAGTCACAACAAAATCACACCAACAACTCATTATTCATGCATCTTATCGAGTATACGGTCGCGGTGAGCCTGGAGCGTATCCCAGAATGCACCAGGCACAAGGCAGGGGACACTCTGACAGGGATTCCAGTACATCCCACAGCAATGAATCTTTGTTAGAATGTTAAAAGGGCATATTTTTTATTACATAATCCATGGTCTTTTTAAATGATACCCTTAAGCCCCGATGGCTTTTTCATAGGAAAAAAAAAGATCTTAAAGGATTCAGGAGACAAAAAATGTACAGAGTAGAACATGGCCAGACATTTAAATCCTGACTTTGTGTGTGTGTGTGTGTGTGTATATGTGTGTGTGTGTGTGTGTATGTGGATTACATTTGGATGACTAAATGTTCCCCACAATGTAATAAAAACCAGTTTTTTAGACGTTCATTTTTCAGGTCCCCACAAAGATCTGTGAAAGCAGTCAAAAAAGTAAAAATGCCAAAAGTCTCGTATTTTGTTAGGTCTGGGTAGGGTTAAGATCGTCGTGTTGGGATTAGTCATAATAATGAATGGTGAGTCCCCACAAAGATATCATTACAAACCTGCGTGTGTGGGTCTGTGTCTGTATCTGCATGCCCATGGACGTAAAGGAAATCAACAAACAACACAGATCTTGATAATTAATATTACTTTGCTTTTATAGATATATTAAACATTATAATTACATTAATTATAATCAAAACAATTCATTACAAATGAGCACATGGGAGACAATAGTTTTAAATAACTTAAAAAATAGACATTCTGGAACATTTACATACAGTGTTCATGACAGGACTTGACAGTTCACATGTTATTTGGTCCTGGTGGGGGAAGACATGTCTGTCCCCTCTTCCCCCCCAACTCTGAAGCCCCTCTGCCCAATGAGGCCTCCCTGGGGAGGGGGGGCGGGGGGGGGGGGGGGGGGGCAGTCGAGACAGGCTACAGTCCTTCCGCTAATCGGTGTCTCCTGCCGCTTCCTTTCCTACAGCATCAAAGCCGTGATTGTTTCGGAAAGGAAAAGAGAAAAACGACACAATGAAGAAATAGAGCACTTTGAAGACGGAGGCTGTGGGCTGTCTGCGGCGTCGTTCCCCTGCCATGTCAGCATGGCATGAAACGATGGCCGGAGCCTCATGGGACAGTCTCTCTCTGACAGGGACCGGCCCTTTTTCCCCATGACGGCACCCTCTACTTGCTCTGCATTTTTCTCTTGACAACCCCGCCCCTGTTGGATGTCTGGCAGGACCTTGTCAGAGTCCACAGCACTGGACTCATCCAAGCAGGGAACCTCCCAGTCACTCTCTGCTTGACCCACTGTGACCCGATGGCCAGTCTTGGTCGAACGACTCCATAGAGAACTGGCATCTTTGACACAAAAACATGCCTCCGAGTGCATAGACACAAACTAATTACTTGCACTTTCGCCATCTGTAGCAATCAGGTTTCACTTCTACTGAGCTTCATTTCAGAACCTTGTCCAGCAAACGGTGCTGCTCCAGTGAAGGACCCCCAACCATGGACTGTCCACTGGTCGGCAGGCCTGACAGATGGATACAGGCTGGCTTTACAGACCTCCACAGCTGTTCAGAGCCTGTCTGAACCACAGCAGATAATGCATCGCTTATGACATGCCCTCGGCTCGAGTTCTGGCTGTTCGATTCGTCGGGCCAGTGCGAACACGCCTTTGGAATTTCAGAATTCGGAATTCCAGAGCCTTGGATGCTCTTCTCAGTTAAAATCCAGTGTCTAGGTTAAATTAACATACCAGAAAAGTATACACATGTATATATTACGACTGCACCAGTGATACGTGAGGGCATTCAAATGTGACAGTGATCATTTTATCTTTCAGAGTCTTGAGGTTTCTTTCAGTGCTGTAGTCCAGGGTTGCAGTCAACCCCTGTTTCAGTTGAATGACTTTCCAATTCCGGGTCACCTTTTCTTGTTGCGTCTTGGTCCAGTATTTCTATGAGTTTCCACAGTGTGGCATGGATGGGACACATATGAGACGTCCCATGACGCACAACCGGTCTCATAAGGAGTTCCATCTCATCCAGGAGTCCCTCTGATGATTTCTATTTTCTCGAAAAGACTCTTGTTGCCACGTACAACTTACAAGAAAGGTTCCGGTAATATTACAAGCCTCTTCTGATGCAAAAAGCTAAGTGAAGATCTAGAGTGGATGAGCTTATATTCAACGAGCACCCGTACATCCACGATGCCTTCAGAATTCCCTCGAGCTCCAGGAGCACTTTTGAGTGGGCCAGGAGGCGGAACAGCAGCTTAACACCTTGGATGGCACAGGGAAGAATGAAAGACATGTTAGACACTCGTCATCGCTGTTCAGGGTATTTAGACCAAAACACATCTTGCTCCCTCACCTTGGATGGGTTCTCTACATGAGAATGGCCCTCATGGCTGTCTTGCTCATCCTGTTCCTGTTCTTACGTAGTCTCCTTCGTAACGAAGAGGAGCGCCTCCTGGGGGGACGGAATGGGGATGGTGTCTGCATGACGGCCGGTGATCTCGTGGTAGGTGGCGCCACCGCTGAATCACCAAAGAGAATGGACATAGAGAACACGTCAGTATGAAGGTCAATGTTGCTGCTCTAGTTGACATTCACACGTCTATGATCGAGACCTTGGTTCACGGGAAACAAGGAATGTGCAGGGCAAGAGGCACGTGCATGGGGGGGGTGTAAGGGCCGTCTTAATCACCTGCTTTTGTTGCGGTCGTGTGCACTTGTTGGTGCAGCTGATGAAGATGCTGTTGATGGTGATGGTGCTGTTGGCGTGCTTGCTGTTCCTGCACCTGATCCCTTTCTTGGTCACTGAGTCCCTCCTTCTTTGAAGCCTCAACTTCCTCCTGGTTCCTCCTGATTTCCATCCCTAGCTGCTTGTCATCTCTGTGGGGCTCCTTGGATAGCGGCCCCTGATTGGTCGTCCCTGCATGGGCGGAGCCAGGCCAGTGCTCTTGCGGATGTCTCGTCACTGCATCCGGGTGCAGGCTAGGCCGTGGCTCCACCACTTCGGTCCTTCTCTTTACCGTGGAGCCGCCGCCAGGGGCTGGGCTCTCTGATGGGAGTTTCTCCTCTGCGGCTTTACTGTGGTGATGGTGGGACAGTCTCTGGCCTGCTTCCAATCGTGTGCCAGTGTGACGGTCCCCTGGCCTCTCTGGAGGCCTTTCATCTCCTAGTTGTGAGTCCAGCTCCTCCTCCCGCCGCACCTCCTTCTCCTCTGCTCCCTCCCACGTTGCAGCACTAAGCGGTGGCTGCGCGCCTGAGGGTGTCGACGGCTCCCCCTGGCCGGACGTTCCCGAGCGCGTGTCAGGGGTCTGGGTCTGCCACTGGCGCCCCTCCAGCTCCTCCAGCTGGAAGTTCTGGTTTTGCTTTAGCACGTCATGCTGGTATATGTCCTCCTTGGACGGGCTTTTGAGCCTGGGGGCCTTTGGCGGTGGCGGTGGGCTTTGCGGTTTCCGCGCCGTGGTCCTGGGCATGTTCGCCGACACGGCGCTCTTGCAGCGGCACTCGACGTGGTCCTCCACCGATATCACGGCCCTCTCATACAACGGCTGCTTGTTCACAAACTGGATCTTCGTCACCTGATGGCGAAAACAGAGAAGTCTCAGAGGATCGGGGCTGACCTTAATAGGGGATGGAGTGTGATGCTGGTGAGGGTGTTGAAGTACATGCAGGGGGAGGTCACTGTTATGGTGTTTATGTTCCTGCAGGGGGTGGATGTTGGCTACAATGTGTTTATGTTCCTGCAGGGGGTGGATGCAACTGACGGATGCTGGTGAGGATGTTTATGCACCTGCAGGGGGCAGATTCTGGTTGTGGTGTTTATGTACCTGCAGGGGCGGATGCTAGCAGTAGCGTTTATGTACCTGCAGGGGGCGTATTCTACTGACGGTGGCCACACACTGCAGGTTCCTGGTGTTGCAGCAGCCGGAGCAGCGCTGCACCTCCACGCAGGGAGGCCACAGCAGGAAGTTGGCGTTACGGCGGTCCAGCATGGAGCGAGACACCTCCATCACCTCCGTCCGCACCTTGCACTGAGCCTGCTCTGCCACCTGGATGTCACCTGAGGTAGAGACGCCATGCGCATAAACAGCCGGCCTTCCCATCAGAAGTCACAAACAGACCAAGATGGATGTAAAACATCATAATATCACAATAAAGCTGCACTGTTTGGCAGTCGTAGCATTTTAGCACTGAATATTCCATCCATCTTCCAAGCTCTCATCCAGTATAAGGTCATGCAGGGGATGGGAGTCTAATCCAGACAGCATGTGGCACTGAGCACCCAGTATGGCGTTCCAGTCCAGGGCAGGCGCACACTCATGCAGACTCGCTACAGGGAAACCGGAGCCCCCCGGAGAAATCCAGCAGGAGCTGCATGAGCGGAACATGCTGACTACACACACACACAGCTGGGCTACGATTCCAGCCCCCCTACCCTGGAGGTGTGAGGTAACCAAGCTGCCCCTCCACTCAGGCCTAATAACGCCCCCATAAAATGCAGACGTCTTACAGACCACAGCCAGGTTGCTTTTAGGCCTAATAGCTGCCCCCCGCGAAGGTAAACGGGGACGACCTTCCAGCACTCTGGCGGCGTTTGCCAGGACACATTTAGACGTATTTAATTTAACCGTAATGGCGATACTTGATGTGTGCCAGGCGGGAACTGGCAAAGACGTCCTGGGCAGGTGCCCCTGGGCCTTTTAAATGCACCTACCAGCTGTCTAACTTAGTTCTCACTCACTCTAGGGTTGGTAGTTTGTCAAAGGGATGGACAAATAGTGGGAGGGTACTCACCGAGGCTCCTGGGAAGGCGATGCGGGGCCGTGTGATTGGGCAGCAGCTCCTGGACTAATGGACCATCTGGGTCCTTCTCTGGGGGGGGGGGGGAGAGGTTGAATGTCATTCTGGTAAGCTGGGCATTCTGGGCACGGTCGCTCCAGATGCGGCGGTGTGGCTATTCGCGGTGGCGTGTAAGCGCTACGCCAAGACCCTGGGACATTGTCCGCGGCACAAAGGAAATTGTTATCGAAACAATCGTGCTATTTTCTGCGGCGGGCTGGTCGCCGAGCCGTGAGGAATGCGTGTGAGCGAGTGGATAAGAACGAATAAGTAATTATAGCGAACGTTTGTGTGTGTGTGTGTGTGTGTGTGTGTGTGTGTGTGCGTGTGTGAATGTGTCCACGTCAGTGAAAAAGTGAAATATGGGGATTGTACACGCGTGCTTCTTTGGGAAAAATGGGAAATTATAGTGTGTCGTACACCCCAAGCATATATGTGTATTTTTGTTTTTCTGGTCCAACCAGAGACCAGGGAATGAGGCTGGAGGGCGTGTCACTCTTGTTAGACACGCCCCCTCTGGGACACACGACCCTCACGTCACCTGCCACCGAGCGGAACGCAGCGCTGGCGGCGTAATGTGGTTCTATGTCGGTTCATGAAACGCGGTGACACCCCGCGGTTAAAGGAAACGCCGAGCGGTTTAACCGGGGAGCGCGATGCCGACGCGCTCTGGATGCTGCCTTTCACACTCCATTTATCTTTAGCTCCAGAGTTTGGCTGAATCCTCAGATTCTCCAGCTGCTTCTCTGCTACGTTGGTACAGTATCTCTGGATCTGGTCCCAAACAGCACACCTTCACCCGCCCCATAAGTCCTGTTGCAAGGCCATATATGTGACGCTCTCTGTCCCTCTGTCCCCAGACACCCCAAAGCGACCCCCTCCCCACCCATCCCTTCTAGCTCGTGTGTCTATGTGGTCCACGCCTGTTGTACGGGAGGGGTGTGGTTCGCCACATGCTGAGGCTGAACAATGCTGTGGCCAAGCCCCCAGGTCTCCCTTCGCACACGATCATCGCTCAAGGTCGTTCATGTTGCCCCCCCCCCCCCCAAAAAGAAATTTAACAATCACCAGTGTTCTGCAGTTAACAGCTCCGTGTCCTTCACCCAATCAGCCCATCCCACAAAATCTGTTTGTATCACAATGCTAAAAAGTTTGTCCTTCAGAAACGCTCATCTACAGAGGAGGGTGTCGACCCGATGCAGTATGTAAGTGCTGATGACCGATCTGGGACGGCACAGGACGTAACGGGACGAGACAGCCGGCCGCAAATAAGCATGCGCTGCCCAAAACTGAAACCATGTGGCACATCCAGCGGCGTTGGAATGCAGATTTACCTACGGAGTCAGAGTCTAGGAGCCTCTGCAGGTCCTCGAAGGACTCTATAGGAGAGCCTGTCACCAGCTCCACCAGGGATAAGGGCAGCGGATCCCCCTAGGGCCAGAGAGACAGAGACAGAGAGGGCAGACGAGGTTAGGGTCACCGCTGACCAAGCTGGCGAGGTTTCACTATGCAGTTGGGGCCCGATGGTTCTGAAGGGTCACTGCTGTTGAATAGGATAGTTTCCATCCACCCATCCATCCATCCATCCATCCATCATTCCAACAGGGCTGCGGGGGCGGGCGGTGTTGCCTGCAGATTATCCCAGGCAAAAATGTGAGGGCAACACACTGTGACTCTCTCAATGCGGGGGGGGGGGGGGGGGGTGTTGCCTGCAGATTATCCCAGGCAAAAATGTGAGGGCAACACACTGTGACTCTCTCAATGCGCCCCGACTGCCATAACCTGACATGCTTCTTTTAAATTGTCCATACATTTAATGTATAAATGTGTAGAATGTTACAGACTACAGATTCATGTTATGAGAAACATAACAATAACAAGGACGACAACAACAAGAATAACAGCAATTATTATTATTGTTGCTAGTGCTGTTGTTGTTATTATTATTATTATTATTATTATTATTATATTAAGGTGTACTTGTATCACTATTAACATAGTAAGTAAGAATTAGCTCCAGATGGTCAGGAAACCAGCATGATATCAAGGAGTCAGAGAAAAAAACCAGAAAACAGACGCAAACAGACACAAGACGAATGAACAAAACAACTGAAAATGACACAAGGAGGAAAAGAGGAAGTCATATGAACAGAGGCCCATTTCTTAGCGGCGCTGCATCTGGTGCTATTTTAATACCGAGCATTACTCATGATCACCCCCCTCATGCAAAAAAGAAGCGCTTCTCGTTAGTTCAGACGGTTCGCTCGCGTTGCAGTCAATGTCAGGTGGTTCTTTGTCTGAACGGGGAAAAAACGACGTTTTAATTTAAGAATCGGATCGCACAAACGGAACGGAAACGCAGCGAGGAACGGAGGGGCACTGGATAGTTCCCATTAGCTAGCGGTGCCTCAGTGATCCCGATGACTCATTTTAGGGTTACTGTGAATTAATTAGTGTCAGCGTGCATCTAGGGTGGTTCATAATTCCTGGAAGAGTGACAGCGCGAGAGCCCAGTTCCCACGTGCCGTGGCGGCATCTCACTCGCTGGTCGGTTCCCACGAACTTACATGTTGCGGGCATACGTGGCCCAGCCGGCCTCCTGCCCTCACAAAACCCCGGTAGGGCGTGCTCAGATATATATCACAGTGGCCCCTCCCAGCTTCCACGGTCAGTATAGTGGTAATGGGTTTACCATGCAAAAATGCATACCCTTATCTATCTGAGCCGTCAAGAGACTTTCCAAGAGGCAGGTGCTCGGTACATTTTGCAGACTGGGTGGTCCCCCTTCGTAAATTTAGCGTGATCGTGATACTGAAAAGGAGTATTTAGTACCTTCAATCACTCTGGAAAGCTGCAGGTATTCAGGCACCCTAAGCCCTCCCCCGATACGCTATCTATCTATCTATCTATCTATCTATCTATCTATCTATCGATCTATGCTGTATATTTTTGCTGTCGAGGACCTAGAGTATTATTGCCAAATCAACAAAATGGAATTGGGAAACTGAACGTAGACATATTTGTAAAACTACAAAAAAAAAATTTAATCAAAAAGTTACTTAATGTTCTATTCAAGTCCTCATTTATCATTCAGTTTATTCTTAATTTGCATCCAGAACCAATTTTCCCGTTCCATTTATTTTTACCCTCCATTCAGGGCCACATCGTTCTCTTATGTGTAAAGTCTATTTATTTATTTGTTTGTTTTCCAGTAGGGTCGGGATGAGCGATACGTCGAGACACGAGGTGAGTTATGGCGTCGCTGAGTCAGCTGATAAGACGGTCACTCCCTCTACCTGGGAGTGCAAAACCCGCGGGCTGAGTTCTTGTGAGATTCCGGAGCACTGAGGAATGTCAGATACACACTGGATGGGGAAGGTGAAGCGTAATGACACATAATAATAGGACGGGCTTGCTGCCAACATATACACATATACACATGCTTGCACTCGCATACACATGCATACTCCCAAACTAATACATATAATCGCACGCACATACACGCACAAACACACGCGCACACACTTATACATGTATATACCCACACACCCAAAGCACGGGGGCACGCACACCCTCAAAAGTATGCACGGCATATTCACACCCACATACAGCATAGATGTGCCCAATTTTTTTACATCCGAATTTTTTCGGCAAAACATGAATAGACCTTACGTTACAAGTCTGGATTCCACACGCCGCATACAGGCAATAGATAGACAGGTAAGCAGCAATGACAGTAACTTTCAAATTCTGTATACAATTATGTTTTTCATTACTCCAATCCATACAGCGACTAGGAAGAGTTGGGATAAAAGCAATAATGTATACACCGGTGGCGAAGAGCAGAGATCTGAGGAAGGAAAAGAAAACCTCCGTTCACGTCTTTGGAAATTTACTTTGAAGAAATAGCCTACCTTTTCTAATACTTTAGTGACTGCCTAAGCGGTCATTCAACAACTCTGAGAAATTCATTGACTGACATTTCTACGTTCTCTCAACATAACGTTTTTCAGACACTTTGTTTTTTTCATATGCATTTTTACGAGCGCAGTTTCACAGGCGAAATCCTGGACGAACCGTAATTTGAAACACGAATCCTAGGAAAACAATATAGGCTATAGATGACAATTTTACAGAACACATAAAGTTTATGAACACATCAGCCTATTACAGGTCATCAGAAAAAAATATCACTATCTGGAAATAAAGGTCCCCTCGACCACATTAACTCAGGCGGTGGTCCAGTTGGATTGAAGTCCAGGACCTTTACTTGGGAACAGAAAGGAGCCGCTGGCCGCCGATTCTGTCCTCCTGTTTATAGAGCTGAACCCGTCCTGACTTCTGCACACAGAGCAATGCAATGCCCACACTAGCGTAACACTTGAACGAAGCCAGCGAAGGCTCTGTTTATTTTGGTGTCTCAAGACAACACTGACTGCTGATCCGAAGTAAATTTAAACGATGTTAAACAAACACGGCTGACTGTCTCACAAAGGGATGGATAAAAAGAAAAGAAAGACGGATATAAGATATGTCAGAGATTTTGTCCCCCGTAATAATAATATATTACACACTAAGGCTAACAGTATTTCTTTAGAGAGAAATGTTATGACAAATTCATAATACCCAAAGGAAACAATTATCCATAAATATGTTGCCTATTATATCAACCATCGTCAATTATCACTAGAGCAAGAAAGAGAAATTATCATTTAAGCCTACTTAAGAAGTGTATATGTCTTGATTAATTTCTATAATTCACCTGGAAAACATAATGGCCGACTAATCCCATTAATGCATAGGTAAAACAGTAGAAATGAGTCAATACGTGGATCGACGAATGTCAACAAAACTTTAAACTTGTGTGTATAAAAGTGGTGGGCGCGTCCACAAGCGTGCGGTCTTACCTGGCCGCTTCCAAAGCGTAGGCACGCGAGCGTAGCGAGCACAAGCACCGTAAAGCCCATCATGCCGAAGCACCAGTCTCCGCAATTGCTTGTGCATTTAAGGAAAAGACACGAAAGCCGCTCCTCAGCACCTCGGCGCAGGGACAGCGGCTCTCTGTGGGTCTCGATCGCCTTTTCCTTCGGACAATGCCCTTATTGAATTCTACTTTAACTCCACCACGCCTGTCCGAAGAGCTCCAGAGAAACCGGGTCCGCTGTGAGAAGCATCTGAAGTCCGACAGTCCAGACCAGTCGAGTTGTCGGTGGCAGATGAATAGTTCCCAAGATCTTCCAAGAGGATAAAACGGAAACTTTTCCGGGCAAGAATAAGGCTAAATTCAATGAGTATTATTAAAAAGCGACTCTGGTTTTCGTTCTTTGTAAACACCACGTATCTAAAGGAGCTTCTCCACCTCGTCACTAACGAGAAAACTTCTTGTTAATAGTATGATTTTTCATCACATTCAATGCATTCCATCAACGTCGAACTCGACAAAAGGTCCAGCTCCAGCGTTCCCACTTTCTTCTCCTATTAAATAAAAGATTAACCTTGAAATGAATAACACCCGCCTTTGTATAATTAAGCGCCTATCGCGGGGGTTTGTGTGTAAGCATGCACTATCTGACCGATGCGCACTGCACTGCAAATCGCCTCTTCACCAAAAGCCGGTGTCTGTTGAGTTTGTCAGGTACAAATCCTCCGCACACTTCGCTCCCTTTCGGCTGCGGTGACCAGCTCGGACTGATCGCTGAACAGCTTTCCATTTGAAGCAGCCTCTTCGAGTAAAGGCAGTCCCCACCTCCCCCGCCCCTTTAAGGCCAGTCTTTTTCCATATAAGGAACAAGGGGACATTCTCCTTGTAGGAAACGTGTAGCTACTTAAAGGGGAAAGTATTTAACCTGCTGGTTAACCACCAAACCAATATGCTTAATATGCCTATAAATATTTTCACGCTTTCCGAAGAAAAAAATATATTCTGTATATGATCAACTACCTGTTTTTAGTCTACGTTTGGTGACACTTAATGAAGCAAATATGTATTCTGGATATTACATGCCTGTTATTTCTGGATGTTTCCACTTATGATTTCCTAGAATGTTGAATGAATGACAGATGAGTCATTTTTTTTCTGAGTAAATCACCTTCAATCCCGCATAGGTCTTCAAAAAGCATCTTAATTTAATGCAGCTTTTGAGACATGTGGGATAAAAAAGTTTCAGCACTATCTCTTGCTGAAGTCCTGTATAACAACCGCCAGCCTTTTTCTTTGAACTTGTGTGTATCTGCGTGGTGGACCAGAGTATTTTTGAGTTCAGCACTGGATTGTTTATAAATCACCAATATTCACCATGTCTTTGAGTGTCGCTAAGTTTATTCTTTTTCCAGTGCAAGTAATGCTTCACATTTTGTGCTGTCACCGGTCAGCGAATGGCGGAGCGCGCAAAAGTGGGCTAGAGAGTCAGGGGTCGAGTCGATTACGATGGTTTATTTTGGGTGCGGGCAGCAAGACAACATGCAGTGCGGAAATGCACACCCTGAGCCATGGCAAGACAGTAAACACAAACCTGAAGAACGAAACGTCACTCCGTTAGGAATTTCAAGTTTAAGTTGATGGTCAGATATACTTGTTGCAATGAGATGTTTACTTGAGAGCTTCCTGTCAATTAATTAACAGATAGATAGATAGATAGATAGATAGATAGATAGATAGATAGATAGATGTCTCTTCCCCGTTCGGCCAGCAGGTGCCGCTGGCTATCCTGTTCCCTCCTCTATCTTTACACTACACCCTTGTGTATTTTCACTAGTCCTTGGACTGTGCCATGCCTCTGTTGGTTGAGCGTCTGGAACAGAGGCTGTAACTCTCCAGTCGTGGGTTCTAGTCCAGTCTCACCTGTGGTTTGCATTTATTGCTTTTTCTGTTCCTTAGAGTTTGTTATTGGTTCTTTGCTTCCCTGTTTTAGTTTGCCCTCTTTCTGTCCTGTTTCATTTTGGTTTTGCATGTTCCTCGTCTTCCCGGTGTTACCCCTAAGTGTTTCTTAGGTTCCTTCATTCCTGCTCTTTATTAAGTGCACATTTTTTTCTCCCCTGTCTTGTTATTTCATGGCCTTAATGGTTGAGGTTTTTGATGATTCACGGCTTCCCTTTGTTAATCCTCATTACCTGTGTATTTAAGCGCCCGCCTTTGTTAATTTCCCCAGTCAATCATTGTGCTATGTTACTACATGTCGGAAATTCTGTCACCTTGCCTGTTCTCAGTCTTTTTGTTTTGTAGTTTTTTCCCTGCTTTGTCTTGGAGCTGTTATGTGGAACGTCAGTCAGTCAGTCATTCTGTCACAGGCCAGCATGGCGCAGGCGGGAAAGGGGTGACAATCCACTTATCCTCTGTCCCACAGCTTGCATACAATCATCCAGCCAGTTCATCCAGCCTCCTGTAACCTTTGGAGATGACTTGCATCTGTTGTCCCTTCTTATATGTCCTCACGCAGTTTCCAACCTCAAATAAACTTCCAGGAATTACTTAGCAGGAAAGCACAACCATATTTAAAATACGTTCAACAAAAAAGAACGAATCAAAATATAATTTTAGTTGCACGTCAGATAATATATGTCCCTCTTCAACCAACCTTCCACCTCCACTTTGGAAACACTCGTGAGTTTGTTTTTTGTCTCTCTGCAGTAAAGCTTGAGAAGTTTCCTCTTGCCGTAGAGAGGGCATGAGTATTACCAGGTTCCTGCCGGATCTGCAGGAAAGCCACCAGATCTGGGAGATGCAGCTCACCTGATAGTCACATGTGGTTGAGGCTGTCCTGACACCCCCCCCCCATCTCAGCTCTAACAGGTCCCTCCCTCGCTAAGGAAGCTGTGATCCTGTCCTACAGTTTCAATGGGATGGAAGTTAGGCTAGTAGACTTTGACTAGCTTCATTAGTGCCAAGTGCACAACCGGTCAAACAGCAAATAATGTAGGGTGAAATGAGTTTACAAAAGCCACTGTGGGCGGGATTCACACACAATGCCTCTCACTGATTGGTCATTTTCTTGTAACCTTATGGTTGAGTAATGAAGTGACTGACAAGAGAACTGATTTATTCCAGCTGAGTAATTCAATTATTCCCAAGATGGGTGCCTCAAATGATTCCGCACATGAGTGCCTGAACAACATTACAAGCAGAATTGAGCCAATTAAAAAAGTAACAACATCACTAACAGACACAAAGGCAATTAAAGTTAATACATTTTTAATATGCATTTTTAAAAGCGCTTGTTAAAAAAGACTAGACAACATTCATCCGTCCATCTTATATGACCACAGTGAGCCTGAAATCTGTTCCAGGAAGCACTGAAAACAAGGCAGGGGGGCATTCTGGGTGGCATTCCAGGCTAAAGGGAGAGAAAATAAAAATTCCTAAAGTATGTACTTTTAAAAGGGGGGGGGGGTAGTGCAGTGGTTAGTACTGTTGCCTCATACCTCAAGTACTTGGGTTCGAGTCTCCACCTGGGTTCTGTATGTGGAATACGCATGTCCTCCCTGTGTTGTTG